ATTTCTGAATTTCTGAATTTCTGAATTTCTGAATTTCTGAATTTCTGAATTTCTGAATTTCTGAATTTCTGAATTTCTGAATTTCTGAATTTCTGAGTTTCTGAATTTCTGAATTTCTAAATTTCTGAATTTCTAAATTTCTGAATTTCTAAATTTCTGAATTTCTGAATTTCTAAATTTCTGAATTTCTAAATTTCTGAATTTCTGAATTTCTGAATTTCTGAATTTCTGAATTTCTGAATTTCTGAATTTCTGAATTTCTGAATTTCTGAATTTCTGAATTTCTGAATTTCTGAATTTCTGAATTTCTGAATTTCCTGAATATCTGAATTTCCTGAATATCTGAATTTCCTGAATATCTGATTTTCTGAATTTCTGAATTTCTGAATTTCTGAATTTCTGAATTTCTGAATTTCTGAATTTCTGAATTTCTGAATTTCTGAATTTCTGAATTTCTGAATTTCTGAATTTCTGAATTTCTGAATTTCCTGAATATCTGAATTTCCTGAATATCTGAATTTCTGAATTTCTGAATTTCTGAATTTCTGAATTTCTGAATTTCTGAATTTCTGAATTTCTGAATTTCTGAATTTCTGAATTTCTGAATTTCTGAATTTCTGAATTTCTGAATTTCTGAATTTCTGAATTTCTGAATTTCTGAATTTCTGAATTTCTGAATTTCTGAATTTCTGAATTTCTGAATTTCTGAATTTCCTGAATATCTGAATTTCCTGAATATCTGAATTTCTGAATTTCTGAATTTCTGAATTTCTGAATTTCTGAATTTCTGAATTTCTGAATTTCTGAATTTCTGAATTTCTGAATTTCTGAATTTCTGAATTTCTGAATTTCTGAATTTCTGAATTTCTGAATTTCTGAATTTCTGAATTTCTGAATTTCTGAATTTCTGAATTTCTGAATTTCTGAATTTCTGAATTTCTGAATTTCTGAATTTCTGAATTTCTGAATTTCTGAATTTCTGAATTTCCTGAATATCTGAATTTCCTGAATATCTGAATTTCTGAATTTCTGAATTTCTGAATTTCTGAATTTCTGAATTTCTGAATTTCTGAATTTCTGAATTTCTGAATTTCTGAATTTCTGAATTTCTGAATTTCCTGAATATCTGAATTTCCTGAATATCTGAATTTCTGAATTTCTGAATTTCTGAATTTCTGAATTTCTGAATTTCTGAATTTCTGAATTTCTGAATTTCTGAATTTCTGAATTTCTGAATTTCTGAATTTCTGAATTTCTGAATTTCTGAATTTCTGAATTTTCAAAAAACTAACCAAAATCAAAAAAATCACTAAAAATGAGTGAAAAGCCACACAACATTTGTGTTGATTGATATCGAATGTTTCAAAATACCATCGAAAATAAAAGATGAGCAATAAGAGAATTGTGGTCCACAGGATTACGGTATCCAGATAAGCGAATTGGATTTTGGAAGAGAAAATTTCCAGGATTATTGATACTGAAAAAAATACAAGTTTTTGGATGATCTGGAATTTTTTGGAATTTCTGGGGTTTCTGGAATTTCAGATTTTTCGAAAATTCCAAGAAATTGTATTTTCTGAACTTTTCAAAATTTCCAAAATCCTAGATTTTGAGATTTCAGAAATTTTGAGAAATTTCAAAATTTCTGAAAATTTGAAGTTTTTTGAATTTTTTCTTTAAAATTCTGGAATTCTAACTTTTCGGAATTTCCTGAGCTTCAATTTTTTTTTGAAATTTCAGTTTTCAGAATTTTGAGATTTACGAAAAAAGTTTTTTTTCGTATTTCTAATTTTATTGAATTCCCAAAATCCAGTTTCCCGAAATTTCCAAAAAGACCCCAGAATCTTAATGTTCTGAATTTCCTGAAATTTGAAATTTCCAAACTTTCGGAAAATTTGAATTTTTCGAATTTTACGAAATTTACAAAATGCTTTTTTTTGCTCATAACTCCCCTCAAAATCAGCATTTTGAAATTTGAGTTACATATTCTTGATAGGCTCGTCAAGAGCTTCAAAATGAGTATAAACACGCCTAGGCTCCACCCACTTTGAGATTTTCGGTTTAAAGGCGCATGGACCCAGCGAAAAATAGAATTCGAGAAAAGTAGGCCATGATTATACTCATTTTGAAGCTCTTGACAAATGCCGTACAATAAAATTAAGTATTTTAAGTTTAGGCAATAATGCAAAAAATTAGGACGAATTGAAAAATTTTGTAGTTCTAAAATTCCAGAATTTTGAATTTTTGGAAAATCCGAAATCCAAAATTTCCAGATTTTCCAAAACTTGCTCACCTCCACTAGTCATAAATCTGAAAAATAAGAGACCCGGAAATGCGATTCCCAAAACTTTTCTAGGATTGCTCATTCCAAAAACTACCGTAACCAAATCCAAGAACGTCAGAGCCAAAATAATAAAAGAATGAGATAACAGAACTACAAGACCAAAAAATACAGTAATCCATTTCCAAAAACCTTCAACAATAGGGTATAAAATGTAGAAAATAATCAAAGCCATTGAGAAAATACAGCAATACATGAAAATATGGAATTTTCGAAAATTCGAAAATTCAAAAAACTGTTCTTTGTAAATTTTGTAACCATAAAGACCCGCAAAAATCAACAGGAACCCCAAAAAATTATAGAAATTCAGGAATTGTTCGAAATTGTCAAATTTCATTAGTAGATTTTCAGTTCCTGTGGAATTTCCAGAATTTCCAGAATTTTCAGACAAATTTCCAGACAAATTACTGTATTCACTGGAATTATCATTTAAGTAGGACAAAATGTAGAGTCGCATTTTCAAAAAAAAATCTGAAAATAAATTTTTTTCTGAAATTTTTTTTTTCAGAAATAATCAAAAATTAATGGAAAAAATCAGGTGATTTCATATTTCTGTAAATGTTAACAGGTGAAAATTCACTTTGAATTTCAATGGAGCACATGACGAAGCGTAAGTCTTTTCTGGAGGGAAATCAAGGATTACGGTAAAAAAGACTATAATTTTTAGCATCAAATTTCATCAAGATTTTTTTGCTCATAACTCCCTTCAAAATCAATATTTATTCATTTTAGTTACATATTCTTGATAGGCTCGTCAAGAGCTTCAAAATGAGTATAAACATGCTTAGGCTACGTTCACTTTGAGATTTTCGGTTTGAAGGCGCATGGACCCCCGTGAAAAATCGAATTCGAGAAAAGTAGGTCATGGTTATACTCATTTTGAAGCTCTCAACCTCCTAAACTCAAAAACTTTAATTTTGACGAAAAATATCGGGTTTTTCAGTGTCCACGACGTTTCTGGAATTAGCCAACCGTCGAAATTCGGGTCCCAATTAAGACTTAAAAAAAAAACATTTCTAGTTCATCGTTCACTACAGTAATCTCCATATGAACTAACAAATGGCTGAAAATCTTATTTAGACCCCTAAAATCCCTAAAAAAGCAAAACAAAAAAGAATCCAGCCACCTAGGGGACTCGAACCCCTGACCTTAAGATTAAAAGTCTCACGCTCTACCAACTGAGCTAAGGAGGCAACGAGGAGAGAGGAGAGTGATGGCGTAGAGGAGGGTGGCGGAAACGGGGAGCGGCGAGGGGGAAGGGAGGGGAGACGAAAATTGGATAGCTAAAGTAGAATTTTCGAAACAAATTCATATTTAAAATCAATTTTCTTTCTAAAACATTTATTTCTGCAAATGAGCCATATTTTGAGAAGTTCTACTAATTTTGAAGTTGTCTGCACGCCTAGTTTCCACATCGGAACCTTTTCAACTTTTCGTCGATGGTAGCTTCGTAGTGCTATCATCTGGGGTTTCTGAAAAATGGGACCGATGAAATCAAAAATTGCCCAACGCTTGCCCGTCAATTCCTAAGCATTGTATCTTTGTAAAATGTGTCTTAACTGGAAAGCTATCTGAGCATGTCCCCGAGTTACACTTCATGACCTATATCATTAGAAAGCCCAAAAAAAAAATGGGATTCGGAATATGTTTTCAGTGAAACTCGGGGACATGCTCAGATAGCTCCCTAGTAAGAGACCCGAAAAAGTCTTAATGGAAAAATGTCCAATGCTTTTTCCTAAAATGCGAAAAATTTTCAAAATCGTTCTAAGAGTTCAAAAATAGCCTTGGGATTCTGCCCAGCCCTTGCTCAACCTTGCTCATCTGGGAGTGCTAAGAAAATTGAGTTATAACACGAGTGATATCCAAAAGCCTCGTCGAACTTTCGCATTGTTTTTTGAATTTCAAATGCAATCATCGGAGATATGTCATTATACAACGTGTCGTTACATTCTTCTGGGTTAAATTTCATCAGTTTTGGCATTTTTTCTCGCACATAACGTTCCATTCGCCAATAGAGATTCATGAGTTTCAAAAGAGCCTCAATCATTGGTTTCGTGTAGGGATAATAGAAGTATGAAACTCTCTCATAATAGAAGTATAAAACTTCAAAATGCGATATTACATCATTCAACTCTCCAATCCCCAAATTTGCCTTGGGCCAGATTTCTTTGTAAAAATCTACAGTTTCCGGTCCATTATAATCTTTGGAAAATTTGAAAAAATCCCACAAAAGTTTGGTGTCCAATTCTTCTGTCCACATTCTCCAAAAGTCTTCATCTGGCTTAATCGCATACTCCGGAATTTCTTCCATAATATCGAATCCATTTTCGATTGAATCATGATGTAATCGAGCGTTTTGAAAAAAATATAACAAACGAAGACAGTCTGTCAATTCATCAAGGGGCATTTTGAAAATCTTCAAAAATTCATCACTCAAAAGAATTGGATGTTCCTTGACATAGTTTTTGATCTTTCCTGTAAGAAAAACTCCAGAAAATGATGTTTTTGGTGATTGGCAAGTTTCACTTACCTTTCAACTGATCCCAGGTCGCTGGCACACTGAGAGTTGTCGTTTCCATATGGGAAATTGTTGAACTTTCCGTCGTGGTTAGATTCGTAGTGATATCATCTGGGGTTGCTGAAAAATGTGAATTTCACTAATTGCAAACGCTTGCCCAACTGTTTTACCTCCCGAAAGATCTGGAGAATCAGTAGCCACTGTGGTGGGAGTCACTGTGCTATCATCGGGAGTAGTATCTAAAAGCACCGGAATCCCCAACGCCTCAAAAATCGATTCCAGAACGTTCGAGGGCACATCCATCAGCGATTTCTTGACTTCCTCAATACTGTAACCCTTATCAATGATAGTAACAGCTTCATGCAAAACCATCCATTTCGGAGAATTCGTAGTGGCGGGAGATTTCAAAAAATCCATACAAATATCAAGAAATTCCAAGAAGGCTTTTGGATTTTCAGACATTTTGAGAGCATTTTGAATATTTCGAATGGCTTGCATCGAAATTGGTCCACCTACATAATCCGGATCTTCGTATTTCTTATTTTTTCGAATTAAAGTATACAAAGTGTGTTTGTAGGAACTACTTTTGACTGCAAAGTTCATAATAGTCTTCAATTCGAAAAGTATCAATCGTTTCTCCATCAAATCCGCTTCATTCTCAATCATTCGATCAATAATTGGGGGCGGAGTCTGTAGAATTTGAATTCCCAAATAGTTTGAGGTCTCTGTTGGGAGAATCCATTGGCCAGTTTCAATTAGAGTTTTGATATCTTCAAAACTCGCATTTCCCTCAAATTTCTCGACAGATCGATCGATAAATTCAAATTTGAGTACTTCGTTATTGTTGGATGTCTTCAAAAAATCCATACAAATCTCCAAAAATTCCACAACAGTCAAGGGATTTTTAGAATTCTTGAAAACTTCCCGAATATTGTCGATTGCTTTTTCGGAAACGTTTCCACCAATATTTGTTGGATTTCTTAAATTTTTTTCAACAATTTTCACCAATTCGTATTTGAAGTATTGTGTTGGGGACCATGAGAGAATTGTTGCCACAGATTCCAGCACGATTTTTTGCTCTGAATTAGTAGCTTGATTGGCAATCAATCGATCGATTATCGATTTTTCGGGACGGACGCTTGACAACCCAATCAGTAGTAAGAGGGTTGGGACTCCTGAAAATTCAAAAATGTGTACCTAAAAAATGCTGAAAGGACAAACCTCTCATTTTGAGACGCTTCTAATGAGAGAAGTTTTCAAACTGATTCCATTTCTCAACTTTTTGCGTTTTTTAGAAAAAAATTTTTTTGTAGAGAAAAACATCAGTTCATTGTAACAAAAATCAAAAAAAGGGCGAAACGCTTAACGCCTAAAAACCAATAAAAAAATCAAGAAAGCGATAAAAGGAATCCGGCCACCTAGGGGTATCCGGCCACCTATTGTCGTATACATGCGGCGCATTCTCTTTCCCGCCCCGCCCCCATTTCCGGCAGGCTTCTCTATGCCATCGCTCCTCTCTCCTCCCGTTGCCTCCTTAGCTCAGTTGGTAGAGCGTGAGACTTTTAATCTTAAGGTCAGGGGTTCGAGTCCCCTAGGTGGCTGGATTCTTTTTCCGCTTTTTTATCCATTTTCTAGGGGTGATTCGCGCAGCGTCTAAAATAGGTGAAATATTGTTCGCGGAAAGTCGCCATGGGTACATCGGAACATGCCTGCCGCAGGCCATTTACAGACCAATCGCGAACGCGCCACCGCAAACGACCAATATTCGGCATATCGAGAGCAAATCTCCTACAATTGGCTTGTCGCGAGAACAATAATTGGCATATATTGTTTCGAATTTGGAAGCTAGCCGCTGCTTGAAAATGATTTATTACACAGAAAAAACAATGAAAAGCGAAAAATCAATTAATTAAAATTTATATTATTCTCTTCCGCTGTTGTCGAACTGGCTGAAACGGCATCGGAGCTTCTCGTTTTGACCATTTTTGCCTCAGTCGATGACGATGAGCAGAAGATGATGTTGATTGTTGTTTCGAAGTAACTGAAATGAATTATCTAGATTTTAAGCTCCCAATTCTTTTTGTACTATAACTCTGACACAGTTATCGACTGGATATTTTTTTTCGAAATCTGCGAACTTAACACTTCCGTCTGCAATCAACTTTTTTCTCTGATATTCGTTTTCAAATTTACCCACTTTTCCAGAACTTTTTCCTTCCTCATTCTCAGTTGCATTTTTCCGGAGTACCCAGTCGACAGACAGGAAAATTGAGATTTTCTGGCACCCTGTAAAAATTAGATTAAAAATTCAAATTTTCTGGACGTTTCTTACCTTTTGAAAGTACAGAAGCAATGCTTCTTCTAGAGTTTTTCGAAATTTCGGCTTCTTGCTTCCTCCGACTTTTGTCTTCCGGCCATTTTCTCTATTTTTCTGCAAACAAAACGATACATTCATCATGGTTATACAGTATTCTAGTATAGTATTATATGTTAATTAATAGTTGCCCAGGCAAGCTACCCCCCAAACCCTTTCTGCAGTTCCCTGTGCGCTTGCAACGACGCTCCGCTGTTTGGCTGACGACAAGCGCGCCACAAGGTTTTTGTATAAAACCGTGTTTTTCTTTGTATTTTGTGTCTGGACCTTATTACCCCAATTAATCGGAGGCAATCTGACAGATTCCGAACAAAAACTGCGAAGAAAACAGCGAAAAAAAGAAGTAAAGTATCCAAAATAAGAAAACGAAATTCGGAAAATAAAAAACACGAATTTCTTCGCGATTGTTCAATTGCGGACCTTTTATAGGGCCAGTTAGTTAGATACGCATTTTGCTCGCGAATGGTCAATTGTAGAGCCTCTCGTTCGCGGTAGATAAGTAATTGGTCGTTTATAGCCCTATACCTATAATTGGTCAATCACGAATCACCTGTGGAGTCCCCTAGGTGGCTGCAACTTTTTTTTGTGTTTTTTGTTTCTTTTTTATTGATTTTTAAGCGTCAATATCGTCCTATTTTTTCATTTGTGTTACCATGAACCAGTTTTTTTTTCTGTACGAAAAATACCCTAAAAAGCGGAGAGTAGGTAAATCGAATCAGTTTGAAAACTTCTTCCCCTTCTCCTAGAAGAAGCATCACAAAATGAGAGGTTTGTCCTTTCAGCATTTTTTAGGTACACATTTTTGAATTTTCAGGAGTCCCAACCCTCTTACTACTGATTGGGTTGTCAAGCGTCCGTCCCGAAAAATCGATAATCGATCGATTGATTGCCAATCAAGCTACTAATTCAGAGCAAAAAATCGTGCTGGAATCTGTGGCAACAATTCTCTCATGGTCCCCAACACAATACTTCAAATACGAATTGGTGAAAATTGTTGAAAAAAATTTAAGAAATCCAACAAATATTGGTGGAAACGTTTCCGAAAAAGCAATCGACAATATTCGGGAAGTTTTCAAGAATTCTAAAAATCCCTTGACTGTTGTGGAATTTTTGGAGATTTGTATGGATTTTTTGAAGACATCCAACAATAACGAAGTACTCAAATTTGAATTTATCGATCGATCTGTCGAGAAATTTGAGGGAAATGCGAGTTTTGAAGATATCAAAACTCTAATTGAAACTGGCCAATGGATTCTCCCAACAAGACCTCAAACTATTTGGGAATTCAAATTCTACAGACTCCGCCCCCAATTATTGATCGAATGATTGAGAATGAAGCGGATTTGATGGAGAAACGATTGATACTTTTCGAATTGAAGACTATTATGAACTTTGCAGTCAAAAGTAGTTCCTACAAACACACTTTGTATACTTTAATTCGAAAAAATAAGAAATACGAAGATCCGGATTATGTAGGTGGACCAATTTCGATGCAAGCCATTCGAAATATTCAAAATGCTCTCAAAATGTCTGAAAATCCAAAAGCCTTCTTGGAATTTCTTGATATTTGTATGGATTTTTTGAAATCTCCCGCCACTACGAATTCTCCGAAATGGATGGTTTTGCATGAAGCTGTTACTATCATTGATAAGGGTTACAGTATTGAGGAAGTCAAGAAATCGCTGATGGATGTGCCCTCGAACGTTCTGGAATCGATTTTTGAGGCGTTGGGGATTCCGGTGCTTTTAGATACTACTCCCGATGATAGCACAGTGACTCCCACCACAGTGGCTACTGATTCTCCAGATCTTTCGGGAGGTAAGACAGTTGAGCAAGAGTTAGGGAGTTTTGAAAAATCCCTTTTTTCCAGAAGGTATAGTTACATCAGCCCCTGATATCAATGATTACAATAATTACGGTGAGGAACAGGATATGTTCGAAAAAATAATTAAATTCAATACTTTTCAGATGCATCACAGACGGCGATTCCTTATTGGTTAGAAAATTGGTTAGGTTTTGGAGGTAAGACAGTTGTGCGATTTTTTTTAAATCTCATTTTTCATTTTCCTCAGATGATAGCACTACGACTGAAAGTCCAAACAATTCCGATACAACAACTACGGTTAATTATTGGCGAGTTCCTGGGAGAGGCTCAGATGACATCACTACGACGGAAAGTCCAACAAATTTCGATATGGGATCTAATTGGCTCCATGGACAAAACCGAAAACTTCAAAATAAGTAGAACTTATCAAAATATGTGCCATTATTTCCGAAAATAAAACTTTTTTCAAAAATTATTACTTTTTTCTTTTTTCTCATTTTCCACCTACCCCCTCCTCTCATCTCCCCTCTCCCTCCATTTCCGCCGCCGTTCTCTATGCCATTGCTACCCTCTCTCCTTGTTGCCTCCTTGGCTCAGTTGGTAGTGTGTGAGACTTTTAATCTTAAGGTCAGGGGTTCGAGTCCCCTAGGTGGCTGGATGCTTTTTCCGCTTTTTTATAAATTTTCTAGGGGTCCAAACTTGATTTTTAGTCTTTTTTCATAGATTTTGAGATTACTGTACTGCAAGAATTCAAAAAACATCGAATTCGTCATTTATAGTTGAAAAAATAAGAGAAATTGAGCAATTTCAAAAAACCCGCATAAGATGTGAAGAAATTTCCGGGGAAAACGAAAGCAAAACCGGCATTTGAAAATAAGTGGAAAAATTTGTGAAAAACAAAATTAGACTTTTTCATCATTCTTCTCATGTTGAATTGGGACCCGAATTTCAATGGTTGGCTGGTGGTCCACGTATCCAGTAGCGTCGAGGACACTGAAAATCGATTAATTTGATTGAAATTAAAAATTTTTAAGTTTACGAGGTCAAGAGCTTCAAAATGAGTATGAACATGACCATATTTTGGAAAATTCGAAAATTTTCAAAATTTTCAATGGGACCTAACTTTCTTATTTGTAGCCTAAACTAAGGCAAAATAAATTAGTTGAACGTGATTTGTTGAGAGCTTCAAAATGAGCCCAAACACGACTAGGCTCCGCCCACTTTGAAATTTCCCTTTGACACGCGACGCACGACCGCGACGCTCCGAAAACGTGAAAGTGGGCGGAGCCTAGGCGTGTTTATACTCATTTTGAAGCTCTAAACAAGGCAAATAAGAATATAAAATAAAATTTCGAAAATATCGTTTTTCAAACAAGTTACCTCGGAAATCGTGATTTGAAGAGTCTGCTGGCAAAACTCTTGAAGCATCCCATGTAAAATGGGTTTTTTGTCGGGATTCCAGGAATTTGACTTGCCGGTGGTGTCGATCGATGTTTCTTACGGTAGATTCCCTTGAGCTGCAAAAAAAGGGGCGGGGCTTAGGAAAAGTGGGCGGGGCCTCCTTACATCTTCATTTGTGGTCAAATCGGCGCAAAGAAGGTATGTATGAAAGCAAGAGAGACCAATTATAGACCATGTCGTCAAAAAACATATCAAAATCACCACCACTGATCCGGGCGTTTTTCGAATCACCTCACCGAATGGCATTTGTTGGGCTACTGTAACTTTTTTTTGAAAAATTGAAAAAGTCTACAGTAATCCTTACACAAACTCATATGGGTCACTGCACAGGCGAACAAGTAGATCACTAGAATCGACAAGCAGAAAACGAACCGATAGAAATAGTTGTAGTTTCGAAGACCAATGCAATTGCCCACCCAGGGACCTGGAAAATGGAATTTTCGAAATTCTAAGACCACCATCTTGCTTGCCTTGTCAAGAGCTCCAAAATGAGTATAAACACGCCTAGGCTCCGCCCACTTTGAGGTTTTCGGTTAAAGGCGCATAGACCCCGAGAAATATCGAAATCCAGGAAAGTAAGTCATGATTATACTTATTTTGAAGCTCTTAAAAAAATACGTACAAAAAATTTAATTTTGTGGAGTTTGGGTCAAAAGTAAGACAATTAGGACCCATTGAAAAATTTGAAAATTTTCATTTTTTACATTTCTAGCTCATAACTCTTTTTGGAATCAATATTTTCGAATTTGAGCTACATATTCTTATTTGTCTTGTTGTGAGCTTCAAAATGAGTACAAACACGACTAGGCTTCGCCCATTTTGAGATTTTCGGTTCAAAGGCGCATGGACCAATCGAAAAATTAAATTCAAAGAAAGTAGGTCATGTGTATACTCATTTTGAAGCTCTTGACAAATCACGTGCAAACAAATTATTTTTGTTGAGTTTGGGTCAAAATTCAAAGAGTTAGGACCCATTGAAAAATATGAAAGTTTTGAAAACATTCAAAAGTAGGTCATGTTTGGGCTCATTTTGAAGCTCTTGACAAAATACGTACAATGGCTCATTTTTTGTTAGTTTTGGCGCAAAATACGGGAAGTTATGACTCAGAAACTCACAATGATGATCGAACATCAGCACGCAATTATCACAAACTGCACAATGTGAGCATCTGGGCGGCCTATAGAGCCGACAAGTGGTACAGTACTTCATTTTCACATGCTCCCCATTTATAATGACGTCACGGAAGCGTGGGCGGGGTGTATTGGGATCCGCTGGAATTTCTGAAAATTTTCAAAATTTCAAATAATTCAAATTCCCGCCAAAAAACCCACCACTCGTACTCGGCACCCCATTTTCTTGCCGTTCGGCTTCTATTATTTCCAGATTCTCAACACGTGGCAAAATTCCCGGATCCGTGAAGGAAGTAGCCAGAAAATTCGAGATTACTGTAATTGAGACCACCGCTGCTACAATGGGAATTGCCGGGGAGATGTTCCAGAGGAATGGAGCGCTGAAATTGAAAAATTAGAGTTTAGGGCATGAAAAGTTAGATTTGAGAGGTTGAGAGCTTCAAAATGAGTATACTCATGACCTACTTTCCTGGATTTCGTTTCTTTCTTTGGGGAACCATGCGCCTTTAAACCGAAAATCTTAAAGTGGGCGGAGCCTAGGCGTGTTTATACTAATTTTGAAGCTCAAGGCGTGACAAAAAGATAATGAAAGCAAATTTTTGAAATGTTGATTTTGAAACGGGTTATGAGCTACTTTTTAAAATTTGAAAAATTTCATGTTTTTCGATGGGTCCTAACTTTCTAATATTTGACCCGAACTTAAAAAAAATAATTTTATTGAACGTATTCCGTCAAGAGCTTCAAAATGAGCCCACGCACGACTAGGTTCCACCCACTTTGAAAATTCCCTTCGGCACGCGACGCGCCGAAAAAATGAAAGTGGGCGGAGCCTAGGCGTGTTCATACTCATTTTGAAGCTACTGACAAGCTGAATAAAAGTATAATTTTCAATGTTCAAGATTCTGATTTTTAAGCGAGTTATGAGCTATTTATATAAAATTTCAAAATTTTCATATTTTTCGATGAGTCCTAACATTCTTTATTTTGACCCAAATTGCAAGTGAACACATTTTTTGGACGTATTTTGTCGAGAGCTTCAAAATGAGTATAATCATGACCTACGTTTCTCGAATTCGATTTTTCTGGGGGTTCATGCGCCTTTAAACCGAAAACCTCAAAGTGGGCGGAGCCTAGGCGTGTTCATACTCATTTTGAAGCTACTGACGAGCTAAACAATAAAATCATCTTTAGTTTTTGAAATGTTTATTTTTAAGAGGTTTATGAGCATTTTGGAGCAAAAACGTTTCAAAATTTTCAAATTTCTCCAACTTTCTCATTTTTCAAGCTTTTTCAAAGATTCAAAAACTCACTCAAATACAAAATAGAGTGTCAGCGTAGCAATCATTAAGAATACAGTAACCACGAATGCTCCATGACTTCTGGAGCACACCAGACGTCCACCACACCCAAATCGATTTCGCCCGGCGTGTACTTCATACTTTTTCTTCTTATTTTGATTTTCTGAAGACGTCAGATTTTGTGAATTCTGATGTCTTCTGGAAATATCAGCAGAATCTGAAGGAAACGCCGACGATGACGTCGACGGTGATGACGTGGCAGGCGATGGAGACGGCATTACGCATTCTGGAATTCTTGGAAATTAAAAAAAAAAATTTTCCAAAATTTTCTAAACTATACAAAAAAGGGACGCAAATGAGACAGAAACTTTGTAAAAATTTTTGTAAAAACATTTTTTTTTTGTTTGCGCAAAAAAAAAAGAAATTCTGATGTGTATGACTCAAATGTGTATAGAAGGGACAGGTGCCTGTTGACACCTATCCAAACGCCATTTTTTTAGTTATCGAAAATTCAAAAAATCTTTTGAAACTTGAAAAATTCAACTTGGAAAGTAAAGAGCTTCAGAATGAGCCCAAACATTACCTATTTTGGAAAAAATTGAATATATTTAAATTTTTCCATGGGTAATGATTTTCTCATTTGTAACCGGAATTCAGATAAAATAAATTAGTTGTGCATAGTTTATCAAGAGCTTCAAAATGAGTATACTCATGGCCTACTTTTCTCGAATTTCATTTTTCGCGGGGTCCATGCGCCTTTAAACCGAAAATCTCAAGGTGGGCGGAGCCTAGGCGTGTTTATACTCATTTTGAAGCTAAAAACAAGCTGAGTAAGAATATGTAGCATAAATTCAAAAATGTTAATTTTGAAGCTAGTTATGAGCTAGAAATGTAGTTAATTGTGCTTGAAAATTTAAAATGCGCCCTATTTTTCGTATTTTTGACTGTAACCCTGAAAATTTAATTTTTTTGTATGTAGTTTGTCAAGAGCTTCAAAATGAGTATACTCATGACCTACTTTTCTCGAATTTCATTTTTTCGTGGGGTCCATGCGCCTTCAAACCGAAAAACTCAATGTGGGCGGAGCCTAGGCGTGTTTATACTCATTTCAAAGCTCGAAACACGCTAAATAAGAATATTCAGTTTTATTTCAAAAATATAGAGTATGAAAATAGTTATATGGAAAACAAAATTTTGGGAAAAAAATTTTTCAAAAAAAATTTTTTTTTTCAATTTTCATGATTTTCAGCGATTTCTAGTTTTTGTCCAAAATTAGTTTCTGACCAAACTTTTTCAGCAAGAAAAAACTCACGATTCACGTGCACTTCGTGTCGAGTCTCGTTCGTCTGCGTCTCGTCATCTATCGTTATCTGAAAAAAGAGTAAATTCTAGTTTATACACACAAAAAAATGACGAAATTGAAAAATTATAAATGTGCTGAAAGTTTGAAAAATTTTGATCTACCAGAAATTAGCCAAATTTGTGACTCATTGTTCAAAGTTTAATGGAAAATCTTGAATTTTTGAAATTTCAACCTGGGCAAAAACCTCTTAAGTCTTAAAAATTTTTTTAAAATTCAGACTACATATTCTTATTTGGCTTGTATAGAGCTTCAAAAAGAGTATGAATACGCCTAGGCTCCGCCCACTTTGAGATTTTCGGTTTAAAGGCGCGTGGACCTTGAGAAAAATGAAATTCGAGAAAAGTAGGTCATGAGTATACTCATTTTAAAGCTCTGAACAAAATACGTCCAAACAACATAAAAAATGGTTATTTCGGTTAAAAATTAAAACAATTAGGGTTCATAGAAATTTTTAAAAAATTGACATTTCTCAAAAGTAGGTCATGTTTAGGCTCATTTTGAAGCTCTTTTCTTGCTGAGTGCAATTTTTTTAGTTTTAATTCAAAAAACGTTAATTTTAAGACCTAAATATTTCTAAAAACAGAAGAAAAAATGCCATATGACCTGGTCGCTAACTGATTTTCTCTCTCTCTCCATCAATTTTCTGTTTGTTTTGCCAACCAGCGAAAAATAGTGAAGGCGCAGTATTTCTCTACATATAAACACACATACTAACTTTTGATGATGGGTGTGGGAAAATTGTTTCCAGAGAAAAATGACTGTTTTCTTGAAAAAAAAAGAAAATTTTGGAAAATTCGATTTTTGCAAATTTTAGATGGGCCCTACTTTTCTTATTTTTGCTCTAAGTTTTGAGCTAGATTTGAAGTTAATGCTTATTGGAAATTTTTGAAAATGTGCCCTAATTCTCTTATTTTCGATCTAAACTCATCAAATTTAAATTTTTTGAACGTATTTTGTCAATAGCTTCAATATAAGTATAATCATGACCCACTTTTCTCAAATTTCATTCTTTGATGGGCCCATGCGCCTTTAAACCGAAAATCTGAAAGTGGGCGGAGCCTAGCGGTGTTTATACTCATTTTGAAGCTCAAAACAAGCTGAATAAATATATGTAGTTGGATTTCAAAAATATACATTCTCAAAGGAGTTATGAGGCAAAAAAAATTACGGAAATTTTGAAAAATTCCAAGTGAAAAAGTTATAAAAGTTTCATAATAAAACATAAAATTTAAAATTCTGTATAAAACTGAAACTGGAACAAAATTTGAAATTCAAATCGGCGAAAACCCAAAAATAGTAGTCATCGGTGTATGGATCATCATCATCATCTTTCTACAACACCTGTGTCAAAAAAGCGAGAGAGTGTGAAAAATGGAGAGAGTGTTAGAGAAAAAGAAAGAAACACAGAAAAAAAACGAGTTTCTACTCATCCTCCTCTTCCCATTTGTACCTTTTTTCTTCTTTTTTTTTCACAAAATTTGAGAAAAAGAGTAAGAGACGCAGAGAAAAAAAGAGATAGATTTTTGAAGAATAGGGGAAGAAAATAGAAGGAAATAGATAGAAAAAAAGTTGAATTTTTGAAAATCGAGTTTTTTCAAATTTTTTGGGACGCTTCTAGCTTCAGAATGAGCCTAGGACCCGAAAAATGCGGAAAATTTACTTATTTAGCCCCCTGACTCTTTCAAAATCAATATTTTCTCAAACAAAGTAAAATATTTTTATTTAGCATGACTTGCGCTTCAAAATGAGTATAAACACGCCTAGGCTCCGCCCACTGTGAGATTTTCGGTTTAAAGGCGCATGGACCCCCACGAAAAATTGAATTTGAGAAAAGTAGGTCATGAGTATACTCATTTTGAAGCTCTCAACAAAATATGTACAATGAATCTACATTTTACGAGTTAGGGTCAAAAATAAGAGATTTGGGAGCCATTTCCGAAAAACTTCAAAAATCATCAACTACAATTCTAGCGCTTCAAATTCGCTTCAAAATCAATATTTTATACATTCGAAGTAATACTCTTGTTCAGCTTATCAAGAGCTTTCAAATGAACCTAAACACGCTTAGGCTCCGCCCACTTTGAGATTTTCGGTTTAAAGGCGCATGGACCCCCGGGAGAATCAAATTCGAGAAAAGTAGGTCATGATTATGCTCATTTTGAAGCTCTTAACAAAATAAATACAAAAATCAACTATTTGCAAACTTAGGTCAAAAATATGAGATATGGGACACATTTTGGAAAATTTTCAAAAATCATTAACTACAATTCTAGCTCATAATTCTCTGAAAAATCAACAATTTTGAACTATAAACTTCGTATTCTTATTTTTCTGTTCAAGACCTTTAAAATGAGTATAAACACGCCTAGGCTCCGCCCGCTTTGAGATTTTCGGTTTTAAGGCGCATGGACCCCCAGAAAAATCAAAATCGAGAAAAGTACGTCATGATTATACTCATTTTGAAGCTCTTGACAAGCTGAACAAGAATAGTTTAATCAATTTTGAAAATTTTCAATTTTGAATGGAGATATGACAATTTCAAAGTTTTGAAAGTTATAAAAATTTTGAATTTTGGACTATTTTCGTGGAAAATTTTGACCAAAAAGAAAAATAAGAAGCTAAGAAATTGGACGCAAAGTGTGTATTTCTTAGCGTATGTGTGTATGTGTAATCAATCATCTCATCAAACAGATTGATCAAAAAGCCACAAAAAGTAGGGAAATAGTATGGGAAATTGAGAGGTTTAGACAGAAAATATAAAAAGAAAGGGGGTGAAAGTTTTCGCGCGCCCCGCGCGCGCGAACAAACCGCCAGTTTTTCAATTTCTCACACATTTTATGATTGACGGGCGGACGGACGGCCCGCCGGCGGTCCGTCTGGGCTGACCACAAAATTTTTGGGAATTTGAAAAATTGTACTTTTCAGAATTTTCGCAATTGTGAGAAAAATTCAAAATTAGCCACAATGGAAAATTAGCAATCCGAAAATTTGGAATTTGGAATTTCCTTTTTTTTCTGAATTTTTGGAATTTTCGGAATTTTCTGATTTTTTGTTAGAATTTCTGAAATTGAAAAAATTGGAATTTTCGAAAATCTAGGTTTTTTGTAATTTCGAATTCTCAGGTGTTTAGGATTTTAGCATTTTTTGGGTTTCAGAGCTATGGAATTAAAAAAAAGTTTTGACATTTTTGATTTTTATAAAATTTTGGGACTTCCAACTTTTTTGCATTTCAGATTATGCAAAATTTTTCAGAATTTCAGATTCATGGGATTTTTTTAATTTTCAAAATGTTCACTTTTTGAAATTCTAGACATAAATATCTTTGGAAATTTCAGAATTCCAGAATTTTCGGAGTTTTTGAAATTTTTTTAGTTTCAGTTTTTTTTGTTGGGTATTTCAGAATTTCAGAATTCCAGAATTTTTTTTGTTTTTTTTTAAATGAAAAAATCTGGAATATCAAAAAAAAACTGAAAACTCAGAGTTTTAAAAATTCCATTTGCATGAAAATTTAAATTAGAATTTCCAGAAATCCTAAAAAGCCGTCAAAAATCAAAACTTGAAATTTCTGGAATTCTCAAATCCCCCCCCCCCCCCAAAAAAAAACTGAAAATCTGAAAATTAGAAAATTTCAGATGATTCGAAAATTGAGAATAGCTAAACTTTCTTGTTTCCAGAAATTCAGAAATGCAGAATTCCAGAATTTCCTGGAAAAAAATAGAAAAGAGAAAATCACATAATTTATCCAATTTTTTTTTGCTTCTTCAGCTACGCGGTGAAGCATAAAAAAGAAGAAAAAAAAGAAGACAATTAACTAGTTGACAGGAGAAAAGAAAAGAAAAGAAAAGGAAGAGAAAATGTGTCAGATTTCTCGCTTCTACACATGAATACACCTATTACATACTTGAAAAACATTCA